TGTTCCAGGTTTCTGCTCCGTAGCTAAGTACCGGCAAGATGCAGCTGTTATATAGCTTCCTCTTGAGGTGTAGTGGCAATCTACCTGTCATGATAAACGGTAAATAAGGTAATACTAAAGCACTTTTCTCGCGTGTATCGCGGAAACCATCGGGAACGCAAAGCCACACAAGAGACTACGTGCGCGTTCTCAGCGAAGACAGCACAGCTCCTCGCCAGTATACTCCCGTTCAACCGTCGAGACTTGGCAATGTCTTGAACGAGGCTGTCTGAGTGGATCACAGGTCGGCATGCAGCATGCCGGGAGGAGCGGAAAGTCGTGCTCGTGGGCAGCATAGCGAGGTCGGCGTTTCGAAACTTTGTATTATAGCGCACGAGCACGACGGTCGGCTGGCATTCCGTCACTCAACGCACGCTCCGCAAAGGGAGGAAGCCTATAGTCAAAAAATAAACTTCTGGCGAGGCGTTAGGAACGTAACGTACGAGGCGTGCTCAAGATGCGTTTTCAGCCGTTCCGTGCGATGGAGTGGATAGCGATCGCTTGCGTTCGACAAAGCGGCCAAGCGGAGAGGCGCACGGGCGGGCTTACTCGATAACAGAGCACTGATACGCTAAGGCGTGAACGCTTTCCTTGAAGCCCACTCATTCGTACATTTATCCGTCCGTCCGTCCGTCCGTCCGTCCGTCCGTCCGTCCGTCCGTCCATCCATCCATCCATCCATCCATCCATCCATCCATCCATCCGTCCATCCATCCATCCATCCATCCATCCATCCATCCATCCATCCATCCATCCATCCATCCATCCATCCATCCATCCAGCCAGCCAGCCAGCCAGCCAGCCATGCATCCGTCCGTTCGTCCGTCCGTCCGCCCGTCCGTCCGTCCACCCCACTCCCTCACTCACTCGCTACAGCTATATCGAAAGGTGCCGTAAGATAACGCGTTCATGACGAAATAGAGTTTATCGCGCTCAACTATATATACGTGGCAGCCTGACCACCATGCCTCAGTGAAAAGTTCAGTGTTTCACTTCGCTGAAGTCAGGTTGGTAAGAAAAGTTTCCGGCCTCAGTGACTGACTGACTGACTGTGCATCTTTGTGTGTGCAGTGCTCTCCTTCTCTCTTCTCTTTCTCCTCTTAATCCCCATCGCCCCATCCCCAGTGCAGGGTAGCAAACCGGACACTCATCTGGTTGACCTCCTCGCCTTTCCTCTTTTCCCCCCTCTCTCTCAGTGTTTCACTTCAATAAGGCTGCTTCTCCCTCCTTCTCTACGTGAAAACAGTGATGCTTCACCGTGGTCTCATAAACGCAGCAGAAAAGCCCTGTAGCGACCTTCCAATAACCTCATAAGTAAAAACCAGAAATGTAAAAGAAACCAAAGCTAGCTAAAGCCATATTTGCTGCTAGTTAGCAGACGAGGTTACCATTTAGAAAACAATTTATTAGTTGCACAGCCGAACTGCCCTGGGGTCACCAAGACAGCGAACAATTACAAACCCATAGAACGCAACCACGTGAAATTATAATTACACCATCAAGAAATAACCGCACTCGGCTAAACCGCCCACTAGCCACATATTTGCTGCATGGAAGCCATTTCGTCATTCGTCGTTGCCGAGTGGCAAGGCTTGGCGAGAAAAGGTTCACGATTGGGTCACCTTGACACGGCCGGCTAAAGACAGACATTAACCAGCACGTTAATACACCGCCTCCGCGAAGTCCTTCATTTTGCGTGGCCGTAACAAACGCTTAGCTGTGAAGCTGGGCGAGGCTATAGAGCACGCGCGCGTGCAGTCGATCATTACACGCGTGCACACAAAAGAGAAGGACGAGAAAGAAATGCAAATGAGCTCCCTGTTGAAACGGTCAGCCTTAGTTGTCCGCCTCGTGACAAGACGCAATGTGTAGTGAGTGGCCAGTTGACCGTAACCTCTATTCTAAATAAGTTGGTTCTTAATGCCCGCCTATGCGGTGGCTTCACAGTAGTACACCTAAGGCGTTAGAGTAAGGATTGATAGAGAAACTGTCTATGATCGCAGACCAAGGAAGGTTATTGATAGCCGGGATTCGAAGAGGTACTATCAGCGTCAAATAAAAGCCGAACAGAAACAAGCCTTCGCGGCGGTATATTGTGCGTGCCGTCCACTTATCACTATACGGACAGGCACACATATATGCGGAAAGCTGCCCAATAGGATGCGCGCGCCTGTAGATGGTGATAACTGGACGGCACGCACTACACTATCGCCAAATGCTTGCCGCTGTCCGGTTTTCATGTGACTGATTGATTGATTTGTGGGGTTTAACGTCCCAAAACCACCATATGATTATGAGAGACGCCGTAGTGGAGGGCTCCGGACGTTTCGACCACCTGGGGTTCTTTAACGTGCACCCAAATCTGAGTACACGGGCCTACAACATTTCCGCCTCCATCGGAAATGCAGCCGCCGCAGCCGGGATTTGATCCCGCGACCTGCGGGTCAGCAGCCGAGTACCTTAGCCACTAGGCCACCGCGGCGGGGCAGTTTTCATGTGACGCAGATAGTACATGTAAATAGAAGCAAATTATATAAAATGGAAGTAACTAAATCATTCTGTCAGGAATCAAAGTGTAAAGCGGAAGTGCGTCAACTATAGCCCTTAGTTCTTAATACGTGGCGCTTAAAGGACATGAAGGGGAAGCCAAAGAGACCGAGAGAATAAACATATTCGCAGGGTAGCCAAGGAGAGGCGCCTAGTGCCGCGAGCTGGGACAGCGTCCTGGGCCCTCGCGACCAACCTATACGGCGAAGTTAAGATCGGCAGCAAGAATCGAAGTGCAATCAAGACCTGAGCTGAACATTCGAAAGTCGATTGACAGGCTAGAAGTGCTATAACGATATGGTTTGGTACAGCTATATAGGAAACCGTGTGAAGGAAATGCAAGGTGATTGTTTGAAGTAACGTAACGGCAGGCAAAGAAGTGACCACGGATTGCTAGCGTTATTTCGCACATACCGCTAAATCACCACTGCATTTTCTTTGTCAAGAACAGTTATTAAATGTGAAGCATCTATCTATAGGCGATTTTCAGCCACTTTGACCATTTTTATCCATCTAAACGCCTACGAGTTTGTGACATCGTGGCCGTTTCGTTAACCTGATAATACCTAATATTGGATGCAATGTCGAACGTAAGTGACAGGTCGTAGCATGACAATCATGACACGCAGATAATGTATGTCATGGCATAAATGGCACGCTGTTGTTGCTCTCGCAGACTCATTAGACTGATACATACCAAAATCGGTACGGCATAACATCATTGTAGGACGAGCACAAACGACAAGGTCGTGACGTGAAAAAAACGTGACACACATTTCATGTACGTCTTGATTCACATGATACGCTATCTGTACTCTAGCGGCTGTTTGTGAACCTATATAGTATATACCTAAATTCGTATGGCATGGCAAGAACGTATGACAGGGAGCGTTTGTTTCTGCGACATCGCCACTCAAACAAATATCGGTTGTTGTACTGAGCTCCTAACAGCTTACGCTGTACAAAACAAAACTGAAGTTAAAACAAAATTAAACGTTCTCTGTAGAACGACACGTAAACGCTTAACGAAAAAGGGGGCGCGCCATTTTGAGCGCGCGATGACAGTGCTCGGGCAGCTTGCGAGAGGGCGATGTCCCGGACAGGAACAAGTTCAAGGCTCTGTCCTCCCTCCTGACTCGAGCGACGCCCAGCGACGACACAGCTGCTTGCAGGTGCGGCTTGTAATCTCGACATTCCACGCAACTCCCGCTCTCATCGCCTGTCATGAACACGAGCGTCGTCTCGCTAATTGCCTGACACTGTTGCGAACAAGGTCAGCTCGACCAGGCTGTACAGTTGTCGTCCAGTTCTATAGCGCGGTAACGGACGACGATAGTTATAGCGCGAGAACAAAACGACGACACAGAGACAAGAAGGACACGTCGTTTTGTTCTCGCGCTATAACTATCGTCATGCCTTACCAACTAGCCCAAGCTGCCACACTTCTAAGTAACGGACGAGGCTGGTGGGCAAACGGCCTTAGAACTGTCGCTTCGTGGTTTTTTAATTAGCGGACGCATTCGAGATTTATCGTGTTATCGAGAGGTTTAACTTCGCGCAATACATCTTTTTTTTTTTTCATTCGAGAAGGGGGGGGGGGGGGCGTCTCAATTTGTTACATCATTGTTAGTAAAAAATGACAAACCACCACACCGGTAAATTAACATCATTTTGAAATCATCAAAGCGTGTCCTAAAAAGTTAGGGGGACATATTCGGAGGACAAGTAAACGCGAACCACATACCGGTCCTGTCTTCTCACACGACTAGCTCATTATCTGTTACAGTTGTGACAGCCACACGGTTTAGACGGCCGGTTGCAGCCCATTCTGACGACTACATCGTAGTCAGAACGTATTAGAATATTTTTAAGGCAATGAGGACGGTCATGTAAATTTTTACAGTGGCAGTGGTTATATAATGCACTCAGACTGTCATGATGCGAGACATTGTTTTTTAAAATAAACTTTGACGTATATCGAACGCTGCAATGTTGCTTAACGTAACACGAATGTTTCATATCTTCAGTACGTCTTTTTTATATTTTTGTAAGAAAGGTCTTGTTGACCTTCCTGTTTTTTCCTCTATTGCTCCTCACTTGAACATTTGACAGATGTGCTACAGTTTCAAATGGAGCGTACTGTATTGGCAACCGCAGGGTTTCCCTTTGAAGAAGAGGGGCGAAGAATCATCACAGAGCCCTTCCCGTCCGATTAAGTCCAAACATGGGGCAGACTTTGCATCCCCCTCTCCCCAACCATGTCTCAGATAACTGGGGGCAGGAGGCCTATAGTGCGCACTCCTAGTGTTCTGCCCGCAAACGATCAGTGGCGGCAGTTTGTTGTCCAAGGTGTGAGAGCCTATAGAGAAGCTGAAACAGAGCGATACTTGCGAAAGCATGCTCGCAGTACTCACCGTGGCAGTCGAACCCGTCTCCTTCGTATCCTGGAAAACAGGAGCAGTAGAAGCTGCCCATGGTGTTGGTGCAGTGGGCGAACACGTCGCACGGCCTGTACTTGCACTCGTTCTCGTCTGCGCACACAAAAGTGAAAAGTGAGCATGCATCGGAAAGTAACCTTTAGTAAGGCTAACGAGTCGGGATAATTGAAATAACGTAGGTTTGGGTATTTTTCAGCATCTAGCGCCAGCCACAATGCGATGCCGACGTGTGATGTATGCATACGACAAAGACAGCGTCTGTGTCGCGTTGTATACAGCATGCCATCCTTGCATCGTGTCCTTCGCTGCGCGAAATGCGCAGGTGAGATAAATATTTGGCGATGAAAGAATGTACTCTTCTTAATCTAGAAAGATACAAAAAATTATTAATTACTGAACACTTAAACTAGGGCCAGTAATATACTTGGGCCAACCAAGTTGTCGTATTTAATAGGTCTAATTCTCGAACTTTATCAAGACTATAGTTTTTTTAAAATAATAAGCGAGATTGCATCGTCTCAGTGACAAAAAATACGTCTGTTGTTTAGCATTAAAGTTTGTTTGACAAATCACATAAATACTGAATTAAACTGGCATACTCAAAACATTTTCTTTCAAGCAAAAGAAGGCGTCTGCTATTCGCAAGTTCAACTGGTGTTATCAAAGAGCGTGAACACATAAGCATGTAACAGAAGTATACCCCCCCCCCCCTCCGCCTAAAAAGAGTTCGTTTTGTTCTTGTCGGACGGCCTTCTTGCCAAAGTGAAAGACAACATGTGGCAGATACCATGACGAAAGCCCGATTGATGGATGCCTCTAATAATGAGGAAACAATAGCATGATTGCTTCAGGAAAAGGTCTCTCATTAACATACAGGAGAGAGAAAAAACATTATCAAAAAGACAGTCAATTACTTCAGACATGGTCTGTCGCCCCTATATCTGTCAGCCAGAATCTGGCTTCTAATTTGGCAAGCGTTTCAGGATTCTTACGGTTCACCTGAATCCCACAGTCCAAGGACACGGATACTGTCGACCGCGGGGATTTAGAAAAATCGCACCGCTTCGTTATCGCTGGCTGAAAGTCTAATTTACACGTGCCTGACTCAACAAAGTGCTGCCGACTTGCTTACCTGGCATTTCGCAGCCTTTGCCTCCGTAGCCGTCGTTACAGTAGCACAGGTTGTCCAAGCAGGCCCCGTTCGTACACCGGGGCACCTTGGGATGGCAATGATCTGCGAAGAAGGGAATTGAATGAGACGGCGATCACTTAGCGTCGCGAGCCAGAATGGCGACGAATATCGGGAATATGTTAACCACTTTAACCAGCTGCAACAAAAATATTGCAGTTGATTTGCTTGCCCTGCAGCGAAATAGGGGTGGAAAACGATGGACGAACAAAAACAAAAGCATACGAAATACTCTTTGAAGCCCCATTTAGAGCAGCTGTCCTAACAAGGAGCCGACACTTTGTGCCTTGAGACGGTGTACTCCATGAAGCTGCAACGCTGTTGTGACACTCTGGTACGCATTTAGCAAATCACACTTGTGCCTCTGAGAGTACGACACTCTATTTTGCGTCTCTTATTTATTTTTATTGCTTCCATTAGTTGTGCTAAACGAACTGATATACAGTATCCCACAGGCTTCAGACGATCTGACGTTGAACCGCTGCAGACCTGAGGACTCTACTCGCTTCAACGAAACTTCGTGAACAACTATTTTATGTAAATGTGTACGCGTGACTTTACATGATATTTGTTTGTAAAGGTGGTCACTATTATGCTATGGTCAACGCAAGACACCTAGAAAAGCAAGTCAGGTGATGAACCAGGCTAACATCTTCGGCGTAATCGTTAAAAAATTGTTATCGATTTGCGTGAAGCCTTGCCATCTGGCAAGTTATATCTCGCGCTTCTTTCGCAGGTGAACGAGGCAAACATGACACACAAACAAAACCTTAAGATAAGATGTTAGCGAGCCGGTGCAAACACAAAGTATGGCCATTTGTTTCCCGAAGTAAAAGCAAGTCAACGTGTGCTCACAGATACACGGAATCACATAACACGTACTCATAGGTGTGGTCGCACGGTTTACGCGGTCGCTTTCCAGAGCTCACAAACTGCACTCCTCAAGCTTTACATAAAATGCGTTCGCAATATATGAGCGAACGATTCGTCCGAGTCATACTATAGTATATTGAACGGCGAAATCGGCGGAAACACGTCACACACCGTACTACGACGATTAATGCGCCGACGTCAAGAATCTAAAGCGTCACTTCTATATAGGTACCGACTCTTCGGAGCGCAAAGCGGAACGCGCATTCACAGAAATCAATGTTCAGACGCCCTCCCGCCAACCTTTAGCCCCGGGTAATGATTTACTAACCGTGGTATAGAAATCAATATCGCGGGGGACTGCCCGAGTGCCACGGCTGGAGAATTAAGTACAGTGGTCCGAGAAATAGAAAGCAGGTGCGCGTTCAGATAAGTGCTTTCACGGCCGCATCTCGGCCCACGCGGTGGCGTTCGCCGCGTTCACCCCTTCCACGGCGACGTGCGCTGTTATTAAAGGAAAAGGGGCGCAAAGGAGAAGACAGAGATCCATTAGTAGGGAACCCCTTTTCCTATAGCCTCTTATATATGCGAGTACTCTCTCTTTCTCACTCTCCACTTCGGCACCTCCGATCAGCCAGCGCACCTGAGAGATCCTATGTAAACACTCTTCCCGTAATAAGCACCTTCATCTTGAGACGGACGCCAGGGGCGGGTGTTTCTGCCGTGCAATCGTTTGCCCATCGCTATACACACATGCGCACCGCTTGACCAACTCTTTCGTGCCGCACGCACGTCGCGGAGTCCGCCAAGCTTAAGAAGGGCAGCGTAAAGTGGACGCGGTATCGTGGTGCATGCGTGGGGTTGTATAAGAATGTCCTCTCCAGATGCGCTTGGTGTGGTAGAACACTTCGGGGAACCAAATTATCCGGGGCGCGCATGAACAGGCAGGAGGAAGGTCCAAGTTTCCCGCACCTCAGCTCTGTTAACACCCGACGCGAAAAGGTCTTTCGCTATCTCTTTAGCACCCCGCCTTGATCTCCCTGCGGATCGTGCCTCTGGTGTTGTTCGTGCGTAGAGCGGTAGCTAAAGGCGAGCGCAGCAGGGTTTCTTGAAGGTCCAGTTGGTACGTGAGTACTGAGGGGAACATGATACTGGTACATGATGCTGAGTTGGTACATGACGCTGAGTTGGTACATGACACTGTGTGTGTGTGTGTGTGTGTGTGTGTGTGTGTGTGTGTGTGTGTGTGTGTGTGTGTGTGTGTGTGTTCACTCTTTCTCCGACCCGTCTTTCGCACTGTTCTCAGCGTGCGCAGGGTTCTCCAACAGCGGGGTAGGGGGGGGGGGGAGGCGACAAATTTTAACCTCAGCGCCCCTTTCCCTCTTCGGTGATCGAGTCCAAAGGAAAATTACGGATGAAAAAGTTAAGACCGAGTGCAGACGGGCTTCTCGTCTCGATGCGGCCCGCCTTTGGTTCTCGTGTTTTGGGAGGAGAATGTTGGAAATAAACAGTCCTTGGAATAAAACTTTGTAGGCTCTCGGCCGCCATTAAACAAAGAACCAGTGTCACTAGAGCTTTGTACATTGAACAATGACAAAACAGGTTCGACTGAGTGAAAGTATGGGGTGGACTTGGCGCTTTCTGTCCAGATTACCTGAAGAGGGGAGGGAAGAGATTGCGTCACCGCCTGACCCCCACCTCCCACCCCTTCCTTAGTATTATTATTTTTTCCTTGCGGCGGTAGTGACAGTCTCGAAAATCAGAGCACGGAGAATCCAACCACCTCGGTGATCCGCTTTCATGCTGCATAGATAAGTTGATACATATGACCTTGGTCATTTCACATGGCGTTTGCGCAACTCGATCAAGTACTACTGCGCACAGGAGCGGTAAAATAGGCGCACCAGCAGAGGCTGTGACCTTACGGTGGGCGGCTAAATTAAATGCGCCTCATGGCCGGTTTACCCGGGAGCGTCGCATACAATGATAGGTGAGCGGACGACGTGGTTGCGACATTGTTACTTCGATGAATCTTGGCGCTGCCTTACAATTTCCGGCATCACTTCAATTCACTCGACTTCTTCGTTCGCGCCCCGCCGTGGTGGTCTAGTGGCTAAGGTACTCGGCTGCTGACCCGCAGGTCGCGGGTTCAAATCCCGGCTGCGGCGGCTGCATTTCCGGTGGAGGCGGAAATGTTGTAGGCCCGTGTGCTCAGATTTGGGCGCACGTTAAAGAACCCCAGGTGGTCTAAATTTCCGGAGCCCTCCACTACGGCGTCTCTCATAATCATATGGTGGTTTTGGGACGTTAAACCCCACATATCAATCAATCAACTTCTTCGTTCGCTTAAGCAACCACCCTCCGACTCCATCAACGTATGGATTCCTTGTTCGTTTTTTTCATGCACAGTTTTTCTACCTTCTCTCTTTTTTTCTGGAGTCTTTTGTTCTATGAGCTGACAGCCGTCGACGTCGTGTACCGGAAAATATTTCTGCTCTTCCGGCAGCTATTATGTGCTAGGAAGTTAACAGCTGCAGAAAAAAAGAAAGGAAAAAAAAAGGACAGAAACAAAGAAGAAAGGATCGAAAGAAGGAAGGAAAAAGGACCAGCAACGAGGCCCGAACTTTGAACCTGGTCGTATGTACTGACTCAGCCTCTCATACACGAGCTCAGAACTTTAGACTCTTCCTCCAAAATGGCGTCACGTTTCGACAAACGATAGCCCCGCACTTAATCGAACCGAGGGCGGCGGCAGAGGTTTGTACACCTTGAACGGCGATTTCGCACAGATGCTTACAAAGACACAGCACGGTGTTTATGGGAAATTCAGCGTTAGTGGGCCGCTTTCCTTCAGTGTAAGGTGCACTATTTCGTTTCGCTTTTCTTTCACACACGCACACACACACACACACACGCACACACACACACACACACACACACACACACACACACACACACACACACACACATACACACACACACACGCGCACACGCGCACACACACACACGCACACACACACACACACGCACACACACACACACACACACACACACACACACACACACACACACACACACACACACACACACACACACACGTGTTAGTGATGGAAGTTCTAAACTTCCCGTACTATTCCTCAAGGGCATGAAAATCGCATGAAACCTATCAGCAACCCATTGGGAGTATGTTATTTTGACCACGAAGATACGTCACAGAAAGAGAAAGAAAGAAAGAAAAAAAGAAAGAAAGAAAGAAAGAAAGAAAGAAGGAAAGAAAGGAACGTTAGAGGGGCTAGTTTTTTTTTTGTTAAAGAACCCTAATGATACCAACACGCAATTAAGTCAGGGATGTTTTTGTTCGTTGGTATCATTTAGTTGTATCTAACAGAAAGTATACGAATACACGAAGCGACTAGTAAAGGTAATGCAGGCATAAGAAGTGAGGACAACAAAATCTGGTACGAACGGATAAATAGAATTAACGACCTGACGCGTCACGACGGCATAATGATAAGCTTCGGAACCGCGGAGTCATTACTCTCATTACGCATGAACGAGCTGCGGTTGAGGCGCCTGGGTGGCCCATAGGCGGCGCGCTGCCGTTCCACGGTATCTTGAAACTCCCGCTTCCACGTATCAGCAAACGAGTGATCTAGATTATTTAGACCTAGAAAAGGGGCCATTTGGTCGTCACGGCTCCTGGTCACCCCGGGTCGAGCGAGTATCTACACGCGCCAATAAATGATAACTCTGTAACCCATTACAGAAAAGGCTCGCAAGAGCAATTGGCCGGCAGCAATTTGACGAAAAGAAATTCCAGGCAGGCCGCGATATTGCCAGTGCAGATACATGCACTGTCGAGCAGCATGCGCGGGTGAGGGCGTGACACGTCTGGAAAATAGTAAGATTTTCGTATAAAGTGTACTCTAAGAAAGGAATGGCAAAATCAACCAAATGAAGAGCAGCAAACGAGGCTAAGAGGCAAGCTAAAAATGCGATAGCAGGTAAGATTAGATTAGATAGATAGATAGATAGATAGATAGATAGATAGATAGATAGATAGATAGATAGATAGATAGATAGATAGATAGATAGATAGATAGATAGATAGATAGATAGATAGATAGATAGATAGACAGATAGATGACAACTACGCGCAGCAATGAGTACTGGTA